TCTCTACTAAAAATACAAAAATTAGCCAGGCATGGTGGCAGGTGCCTGTAGTCTGAGTTACTTAGGAGGCTGAGGCAGGGAGCATCGCTTGAACCCGGGAGGCGGAGTTGCAGTGAGCCAAGATTGCTCCACTGTACTCCAGCCTGGGCGACAAAAGTGAGACCCCCTCCCCCCCCCAAAAAAAGGGGGATCAGGCGCTGTGGCTCACACCTGTAATCCCAGCACTTTGAGAGGCAGGCAGATCACTTGAGGTCAGAGCTCAAGACCAGCCTTGCCAACATGGCGAAACCCCATTTCCACTAAAAAATACAAAAATTAGCCAGGTATGGTGCTGGGCTCCTGTAATCCCAGCTACTCGGGAGGCTGAGGTGGGAGAATCGCTTGAATCCGAGAGGCAGAGGTTGCAGTGAGCCAAGTTTGCACCACGGCACTCTAGCCTGGGCAGCAGAGCAAGACTGTCTCAAACAACAACAATGAGTTCTATTACAGCCATAGGAAAGAAAAACAAAATCTGTTCAGAGGGTAGATCTCATGTTAAGTGTTCTGACCACAATAAAATAAAATTAAGATCGAAGGAGGCTAGCTGAAGGCTCACTTCAAAGCAGAGAGAACTTTGGTCCCCAGATATGCCAGTTATTAATTTATTGCCTCTGAACTTTAAACCTTCCTTGCCCCAGGGAATGATGCAAAGTCCATTTCTCCATTGCCAGCTGGCTGGATGTTAAACTCTGCCAGTAGAGGGTACTTGAAGGACACTACAAATCTGGAAAAGGAAAGGCACATTTTCTTCTCAAAGCAAACAGATCAATGTGCAGGTTTCCCTGTTCAGCACCAGTTTCTTTGCTGCCATGCTGGGGATGGCTGTTGTTATGGGTTGAATTATGTCTCCCCAGAAATGTATGTTCAAGTCCTAAATCCTGGTGCCTGCGAATATGACCTTATTTGAAAATAGGGTCTTTCCAAATGTAATGAGTGAAGTCACTCTGGATTAGAGCGGACCCTAATCCAATGACCTAAGTCTCTCTCTTTTTTTTTTTTTTTTTTTGAGACCAAGTCTTGCTCTGTCACCCAGGCTGGAGTGCAGTGGCACAATCTCTGCTCACTGCAACCTCCGCCTCCTGGGTTCAAGCAATCCTGCCTCAGCCTCCTGACTAGCTGGGATTACAGGCATGTGCCTCTACCATGCCGGCTAATTTTTGTATTTTTAGTGGAGACAGGGTTTTACCACGTTGGCCAGGCTGGTCTCAAGCTCCTGACTTCAGGTGATTCACCTACCTTGGCCTCCCAAAGTACTGGGATTATATGCGTGTAATCCCACTAGCCACCTCCCCTGGCCTCGTGTCATTATAAGAAGAGACAGCAGAGGCACACAGAGAAGATGACCACAGAAGACAAAGGCAGAGGCTGGGGTTATGTTACCACAAACCAGGGAATGCCAAGGATCGCTGGCAACCACCAGGAGCCTGGGGAAAGCATGGAACCCCTCCTCCCTTAGAGGCCCCAGAAGGATCCAGCCCTGCTAATACTTTGATTTCAGACTTCCCACCCCCAGAACTGTGAGAGAATGAATTTCTAGCTGCTCTGGGCCACCCATTGTGGGGTACTTTGTTACAACAGCCCTAGGACACTAATGCAGCTTGAGCCAGTGTCTTTGTCACCAGATTGGTGGCAGCTGTTAGCTCTCAACAGAGGCCAGTTTCTTCCCCACAAAAGCAGGCAGCATGCTCCTGGGGCAACCACACTCTCCCCTCAGAGCAAAAGGAGTAGTAAATGCATGCTTAATTGGTACTGGATATCCTTTAAAATGTACACGTTAAAATGGTTAAAACAGTATATTCTATGTTATATGTATTTTATCACAATTTTTAAAAATCTCAAATCAGGGAAGAGCCTTCTCTGAGTTTCTAAGTTCCTTGTTTGTTTACTTTTCCCTCCATCCTAGGAGTAATTAGCTGAGACGGAGTTTTGCTCTTGACACCCAGGCTGGAATGCAATGGCCCAATCTCAGCTCACTGCAACCTCTGCCTCCTGGTTCAAGCAATTCTCTTGCCTCAGCTTGCCAGGTAGCTGAGATTACAGGCGCCTGCCACCATGCCTGGCTAATTTTTATGTTTTTAGTAGAGGCAGGGTTTCACCATGTTGGCCAGGCTGGTCTCGAGCTCCTGACCTCAGGTGATCCACCCGTCTCAGCCTCCCAAAGTGCTGGGATTACAGGCATGAGCCATTGGCCTGGCCTCATTATTTATTTTTTAAAAATTATTTATTGTGAATTAATATGACATCACATTTACCATTTTAACTATTTTAAGGCATACAAATCAGTAGCATTAAGTACATTCACAGTGTTGTACAACCATCACCACTGTCTAGTTTCAGAAATTTGCCTGACTCCAATTGGAAATCCTGTGTCTACTAAGCATGCAGTTACTCCATCTTTTGCTCTGTACTCCTTGAAGTTCTCTTTTCACCCTTTTAGTAGCTAACCATGACCAGCACCATAAAGGAGCATGCCCAACCTAAAGGAAGATAAGGCAGACTACTGGGAGCCAGGAAGAATCATAAAAGGCCTAGTCTAGGCCAAGATCGGATGTCAGACTAATTATGGAAGGATACATCCTTGGTAGAATTACCCTACTCAGGAAGGTGAACAGTGGGCTTGAAAGGGCTGACGGAACCAGGTCTTACTTCCTCTCTCTCACCATGGAAAACACTGTGAACCAGAATCTGGAATAAAATATTGACATAGTCATCATATAGACAGGAAATTGGAAAATTTGGATGAAATGCAAGTCCCTAAAAAATATAAAATATCAAAATTAGTGCTTGTATTAATATTAAGGAAACTTAAAAGTCATTCAGGATTGTCTCTCCTGAAAAAAAACAGAACAAGTTGCTACAGAAAATAGGAGACTTTCAGAATCTACCCATTCATTTTATTATTGGTTATTGTCATGTTGATTCCAAAATCAGATAAGTGCAATACAAGAAAATAATAACAGCTGATTGAATCCAACAACAATGTCTTTAAAAAGTCCTACCTCTTGATCCAATAAGAATCTTTGCAGGAATGTAAAGATGTTTTAAAATCAGAAAATATATCAATGGATTAACAATTAATACATTAAAATTAAAAACCACATGTTCCCGTAAGTGATACAGAAAAAAATGTTTCATAAAGTTTAGCAACTATGATTTTAAAATTACAAAGTAGGAATACTGGAAATTTTTCTTACTTTGAAAAGTTGATATATAAAAAATCTACAGCAAAGTTAGACTTGAGGTAAACTATCCTTTAAGATCAGGAAAAAGACAAGTCATTGGAATGTCCTTGTTATTGTTTAATATGATACTGGAGGTTTTTGTCTGCGTTATGAGGAAAAGAAAAAAGTATGAGGATTATAAAGGCAGAGATAAAACTGTTGATATTTACAAATAATATGAGCATCTAGAAAAAGCAACAGAATCAATAATCAAGCTGTTAGAATTAGAGTTTAGCAAGATTAACACACAACCCAGAAAAATTAACAGCATTTCTCTCTATTGGCAATAACCAAATATAAAATGAAATATATTTTGTCCACTACTGTGTAGTCAGCATCCAGTGTATAGTAGATGCTTAATAAACATTTGTTGAATGTCTAAGTGAATGTGGCTTATGATGAACTTGCTGTTTTTGGTGCTTCCTGTTCTAATTACTACATGAATCTCCATCTTTGTAATCTGAGGGAAATCAGGGTTTAGTCTGGATAGACCTCTAACTGCACCTGCAGGGCTGTATCATTTATAATGTTCTCCCCACAATCTCTTCCCACAGAGCAAAGCTATCTTCTTCCTGGCTTTCGTTCCCAAGTCTGAAAAGAAGAATCAGGGGGCTTATCACTCATTAGTTCATTTCATACTATAACCCAGGCCAGCACTGAGGTTTGAGGGTTCTTTACTATCTTTGGTCCAGTTGCTTAGCTGGACATGTTCGATCAATCAGAACAATCTTCTGGGTAGGTTGTTTTGACCAGTACAAATTATTTGAGTAATAACATCTTAATCCAAAAAATATCCCTATTACCTGAAATCTAGGTTTTGATTCTGTTTCTTTAGCCTGAAGGTCAAGACTGGATTATCGCAGATAGATTTTGAGATGTAGCCTCTACATTCCATTCTTTAATTATCTATCTGCACCTTGCATTTCGTTTTTTAAAAAAATTTGGACCCATGCTTGTAATCCCAACACTTTGGGAAGCCAATGTGGGAGGATTGCTTGAGTCCAGGAGTTTGAGACCAGCCTAGGCAACATGGCAAAATTTTGTCTCTACAAAAAATACAAAAATTAGCTGGGTATAATGGAGTGCATCTGTAGGCCTAGCCACTCAAGAGGCTGAGGTGGGAGGATCACTTGAGCCTGGGAGGTGGAGACTGCAGTAAGCCATGATTGCACCATCGCACTCCACCCTAGGCAACAGAGTGAGACCCTATCTCTCAAAAAAAAAAAAAAAATTCTTTTTGTAGAGACAGGATCTTGCTGTATTGCCCAGCTGGTCTCAAACTCCTGGCCTCAAGCAAACCCTCCTCAGCATCCCAAAGTTCTGGGATTACAGTTGTTGAGCCACCACACCCAAAAAGCACAGCAAACAGTAGTATCTTCACAGATAACTTTTAGCTAAGTTACTTTAATGAATCATTGGACTTGTGGGTTAGCAACAATTTATGATTAGCAACTTGATCACAACCACATGTATATATGTTTTTGAGATAGAGTTTTGCTTTTATTGCCCAGCCTTGAGTGCAAGGGCACAATCTCAGCTCACCACAACCTCTGCCTCCGAGGTTCAAGTGATTCTCCTGCCTCAGCTTCCTGAGTAGCTGGGATTACAGGCATGTGCCACCATGCCCAGCTAATTTTGTATTTTCAGTAGAGACTACGGTTTCTCCATGTTGGTCAGGCTGGTCTTGAACTCCCAACCTCAGGTGATCCGCCCGCCTTGGCCTCCCAAAGTGCTGGGATTACAGGTGTGAGCCACTGTGCCCGACCCCATATTTAAAATTCTTGTAATTGGGATTGGTCTGTACAGCATTCCTAAGTTTTGACAAACAGCTTTGGAAACTTACATGGATGACAATTAACATTTTCTAGTGTCAACATGGACTTGTGACTTCTATAAACTTAACTTTCATTGTTTCATTTGATGATAACTTGTCAAGGACCAAGTAATCATATGTATTCCAAAATAGAAGTCTTGATGAATAGGCACATTTGCAAATTGTAGTGAATTCACAAACATCACAGCAAGTCTCAAAATTAAAATCCTTCTGATATGGTTTGGCTGTGTCCCCAGCCAAATCTCATCTTGAATTGTAGTTCCCATAATCCCCACGTGACATGGAAAGGACCCAGTGGGAGGCACCTGGTGGGAGGTAACTGAATCATGGGGGCTGTTAGCCCCATGCTATTCTCATGATAGTGAGTGAGTTCTCACAAGATCTGATGATTTTACAAGGGGCTTTTTCCACTTTGCTCTGCACTTCTTTCTCCAGCTGCCATGTGAAGAAGGGTATGTTCACTTTCCCTTTAGCTATGATTGTAAGTTTACTGAGGCCTCCCTAGCCATGTGGAACTGTCAGTCAATTAAACCTCTTTCCTTTATAAATTACCCAGTCTCAGGTATGTCTTTATAGCAGTGTGAGAACAGACTAATACACCTTCCTTTCGAAGTGAAGAAAGAAATACTTCAGTGCACATGTATTTAATGCATATACTTTTAAAAAATAATATTACAGTTTAAAAAGCTAATTCAAAACCAGCATTGCCCTCAAACTTCCTTTTGGTGACATTTACAAATCTGTCCACACTGCAGGGGGACTAGTGTGAGTCATGGTTCATGCCATTGGAATGCCACCAATTTCATTGCCAGCCCCATCTTTAATTTTTTCAGGCTTGTATGATTATAGTTTCTCTTCTACTTTCCTGGTGTATGTCTATATTTTTGCTGTTGTTGAGAGTTAGTATCTGGGCCAGGTGTGGTGGCACATGCTTGTAATCCCAGCACTTTGAGAGGCCAAGGCGGGTGGATCTCTTGAGCCCAGGAGTTCAAGACCAGCCTGGGCAACATGGCAAAACCCTGCCTCTATAAAAAGTTTAAAAATAAAAATAAATAAATAAATAAAATCTGTTTCTTCCTTACCTCTTCTAAAATCTGTCTATTTGAAGAATGGCAGGGAGTTGGAGGGTGAGTGGATTCTGCCTGTATTCACTTCCTTTTTTTGTTTTCCACATCTGCTTTTTACTGTTCAGCCCATGGAGTCATTTTTGTGGAGAAACTCATTTTTACAGTGCTCCCATTCCTCTGGATTCTTATTTGGGGCAAGCAGAAAACACAGCCCGCACAAACCACTCATAATGGGTTTAATACTGGACCTGCTAGGTTATCAAGGATACAAAGCAGCCGCTTACTTGCTGGCTATCAGAGAGTCACAGAAAAATGTTGAGCCGAAATTTTGGAGAGGATTCACCCTGGATCTGTATCTCCTCACCTGGTTCCAATGCACCCATCCGAGACCAAACCGGTTCCAAAATTGTCCAATAGAGGATCTTACTCACTCCTGCACAGCCTGTTGGAGATGTCTAAAAGCTAAATTCCACAGTTAAAAATGGTTTAAATTTTCCCTAGCTTTCCTCAGAATTCATGAATGAAGCACCTTTTTAAATCCAAGAACCCAAGAAGGGAAAATAAATCTGTGTGATTGGTTGCATAGAAAAATGGACTAAGAAAAGCTCCAATGCCCAGTCCTCTGGCATACTTCCTATTAGGATGGAGGTGAAGGGGATTTTTTTTTTTTTTGAGGCAGGGTCTCCCTCTCTATTGCCCAGGCTGACATTGCAGAGGCAGGATCATGGCTTCCTGCAGCCTCAACCTCCCAGGCTCAAGCAACCCTCCCACCTCAGCCTCCTGAGTAGCTGGGACTACAGGCTCACGCCATCACGTCTGGTTAATGTTTGTATGTTTTTGTAAAGCTAGTGTCTCATTATTTTGCCCAGGCTGGTCTCAAACTCCTAGGCTCACGTGATCTTCAAAGAGGATTTTTGAGCAAGCTAAACATGTTTTACAAAACCTGGCAGTTGGCTTTGTCAGGGAAGAAAAACATTTGCAAACGAAGACCTCCAGTGTATACCTATTCACTTTTTGTCTAAATAATCTGTGAAGTTGGGTAAAGAGTCATTTCAGAAATACTCTCTATGGTACACTTTTATACAGGAAGCTCAAGGAGATATGCACCTGCGAATTAGCATGAACCCACGCAGGTCTTCCTGGCTCAGAGTTCCAGCTTCGCACCACTGTGTCCCACTGAAACAATGAAGCACAAACTGGAAGAAGAAAGATGTGAGATGTGAATACTCAACAAAATTTTTGATACAGGGAAGGCTTTTCAAATTAAGAAATGATGAACATTTTTCATAAAGTTGATTACATGAAATTTAAAGGTAAGCATTAAAACTCAATATTCGAGAACAAATGACAAATTTAGGAATAGATATACTAAATTTGGCATAGAATTAGTGTATTTTATTTTATTTATTTATTTATTTTGAGATGGAGTCTGGCTCCCATCACACAGTCTGGAGTGCAGTGGCGTGATCTTAGCTCACTGCAACCTCCACCTCCCAGGTTCAAGCGATTCCCCTTCCTCAGCCTCCTGAATAGCTGGAAATACAGGTGTGCACCACATGCCCTGCTAATTTTGAATTTTTAGTAGAGACAGGGTTTCGCCATGCTGGCCAAGCTGGTGTTGAACTCCTGACCTCAGGTGATCCACTCGCCTCGGCCTTCCAAAGTGCTAGTATTATAGGCATGAAGGAATTAGTATATTTTATATAAGTATTTATATACATTATTTTAAAAGTTAAAAGGTACAATTAAAATCATTTTAGGCCAGTCACAGTGACTCATACCTGTAATCCCAGCATTTTGGGAGGCTGAGGCAGGCTAATCACTTGAGGTCAGGATTCCAGACCAGCCTAGCCAACATGGTGAAAGCCCGTCTCTACTAAAAATACAAAAATTAGCTGGGCATGGTGGTGGGCACCTGTAATCCCAGCTAGTCGGTAGACTGAGGCAGAAGAATCACCTGAACCCAGGAGGCAGAAGTTGCAGTAAGCCAAGATCATACCACTGCACTCCAACCTGGGTAACAAAGCAAGACTGTTTCCAAAATTAAAAAAAAAAAAGTCATTTTAAGTAGTAATGGTCTTGAATGGACATCCTCAGAAAAGGAAATCAAACCAGTCAGGATAAATGGAAAGACTTAATTTGATGAGTAATTATAGGAATGCCAATATTAACCACAAATTATCATTTGCCTGACAAAATTAGCAATGATTCTAAAGTTGCAATAGCCAATTTTAGCAAGATCAGTAAAAGAGGGCAACTCACACTTTTCTCAGGGTTGCATAAATTAATAATTGAGACAGGGCTGGGTGCAGTCTGTAATCCCAGCACTTTGGGAGTCCAAGGTGGGTGGATCACCTGAGTTTGGGAGTTCTAGATCAGCCTGACCAACATGGAGAAACTCTCTACTAAAAATGCAAAATTAGCCAGGCATGGTGGCGCATGCCTATAATCCCAGCTACTCTGGAGGCTGAGGCAGGAAAATCGCTTGAACCCAGGAGGCAGAGGTTGCAGTGAGCCAAGATCACATCATTGCATTCCAGCCTGGGCAACAAGAATGAAACTCCATCTCAAAAATAATAATAATAGTAACAATAATTAAAACAACTTTTTGTAAAGCAATTTGGTGATTGTAATACCTATACTAGAAGAGCCCAGGCATTGTTTCCATTCCCAGAAAGTATTTATACCCTTTGACTCAATACTTTTCTGTCTTAAGGAAAGAATTCAAAATATGGAAAAGGATGTATGCACAAAGATGTTTATTCTGGCACTATATACGTGTTACCAGGCCATACCAATCTAGAGTTGCACATGAGGTCAACATCATGATAATAAAAAGCATTCTTCTAACTGTCCCCATCTGCTCCACGAGGTCTCCAACTGCCAGGAAAGCTTTGTGTTCTATCACTAGGTGGTCTTAAGTGCCCAGTATCTGCTCCTCTATACTCTGGTATGTTTTCTGTGGCTGCATTTACCAAGAAACTTAGTGATGCCATGCATACCCCTATTAGGATCACTGTTACTACTACAAATACTGATGCCACCACAAACATGGCCAGCACTCAACAGTGAGAATACTGGTATGAGCATCATCTGTCTTGGTTGCACTGGAGTGACAGCATAGATTACATAGTGGCTAATGAATGTAGCGGCTTATTAAGGTGAATGTTGCTCAGAAACATCAGTGACCAAGATGGAATTTTCAGCCAAGGGAGATAAAACTTGTCTAGTTTAAATTTATACATGCTCTGCCTCTTAAAAACAACTAAAGTGCTTTGCAAATGTTTGCTAAGTAAAATTAGTGGTGTTCTATGATACTGTAACAACAGAAGTTGTAACCTCAAGACTATATCCTGTATCATTAATATGGG